TAAACCCCTCAGGGCCAACAAGGAGAGTAGAAATACCAGGAGGATTAGGGGAGGGTGGGGGCAGAAAGGGGAACCCGATCGCAAGGATCAACCTAGAACCCCCTCCCAGGGGGACTAATAATGGAAAAGTGGATGAGGGACAACAGAGGATGATGTAAAATATGGAAAAAATAATCTATAACTTATCAAGAGTTTATGAAGGAGGGTGGGGGTAGGGAGGGGGAAGAAATGGGGAGCGGACATCAGGGCCTCAAGTGGGAAGAGAATCCTTTGAAAATGATGATGGCAGCATATGTGCCAATGTGCTTGACTCACAGTGGGTGGATGTAAAGATTGGGATAAGAGATGTAAGAGCCCCCAATAAAATTATTTTTAAAATATCAGTAAGATTTAAAAATGGTCAAAGAACCATGATAAAGTTCTTAGGAAAAAAAACATAAACATTTAAACATAGGAAAAGATGTACAACCTATATTTAAAATGTAGGTAAAAAACTGTAGTGAAATGCTGTTTTACTGATAGATTGACATTCTGTGTGGCATTATACAATAATGTGTGTAATAACAGCAAACAAGAATAATTTCACATTTCTAATAGAGTGTGAATGAATTATACATTCATACAGTACATTTATGAAGTATTATGTTATACCAGTATTAAAGAGAATGATATGGGTTTCTTTATGTTAGAATGGAAAATATTAAATAAGATATCACTAAATGAAGAAAGTAGGGCTCAGGGCAGGTGAATTCTACCATCCCCTTTGTGTCAGAAGGCTACACACACTTCTGAATCGGGAACTGATTGTAATGATTGTTTTTGAGATGGCCACGCAGGGATAGTGAGATCAGCATGGAAAGGACTTAAGTTTTCTTTTCTAGCCTGGTGTTTGGCTTCATTCTTTACTGTGTACATGGTTCCTTTAAACATGAAAAGCCATGTGCAAGAAAGGAAATTCTTAATCAATTTAGTTGAGCATTTCAGGGAATACTATCTGAATACCTATAGGCCACATATTTCTTGAGTATACTGGGGATATTGAGATAAATAAAGCATTGTCCCTACTCTTTTCAAAAAACCATTAAGCAATCTTATTACCCATTAAGAGTAAGTTCATTCTAACTCAAATTAACCTTTTGGGACAGAATAGAACTGCCTAAAGGGTTTCAGGGGCTGAAATCTGTTAGGAAGTAGCTGGTGGGTCCATACCAAAGATATTTTGTTTAAGAGCTAATTACATAACAACTGTGCCATCAGGTAGTACCAATTTGCACACAGGGTAAAACCCAATGTAGCTGATATGACCAGGAAAATTCTACAAACCGTTTATAACTCAAAGTAGTGTACATACAAATTAATTGATCATCACAAAAACCTTATAGAATAGAGTAGCATGTGTCTACATAAAAATAGTTGCAATTTCTTAGAAAGAACGGAAGTTCCAGCTACTACTCTTTTCTGCTCATATTTATTTACTCATTTTTTAAAATTTACTCATTGCTTATTTTAAATGAGTAGATATTCGCTCATTTACTACTCTTTTCTGTATTTACTCATTTAGTGATCATATCAACCCAACAAAGGGGATATCATTGCCATGCTATTTTCACCACCATTTTATTGAAGATGTAGAGGATAAGTAATTTGCCAAAGTTGAGGCTCCTTATGGTAGTATCCTGGCAAATATTCAATACAGACAGTGAGGTTATATGATCCCTCCACGTGCTCAAACTTTATTGAGTAGTCTGAACTCATCTGCAGTTAGCAAATGGGAGACATATGATTCAGAGGTTAAAAAATTAGCATGATTATACTGCCAACAATGTCAAAGCCAGCACTAGAGCCAAGGTCTCTTCAGGAGATGCAGTGGCTCCCTCAGTGTACTGCCCTCTGCCCATGATCAGCAGGGCTCCAAGGAGTGATCCAGAAATCAGGAAAGGAGTCTTTTTAAAAGCCCTACCTGTAGTGATAAGTACTAATGATAAACCACAAAATGTGTGGTTTCTCTAAAAAAAAAAAAATTGCAAAGAAATAACTTACTTCCTTTTGGTGAAAATATTTCCTCTAGTTAAGAAGTACCACATATATTAGGGGAGTGCATGTGAGGAGGCCCAATGTCCACCTGCCACCCTACTACCAAACCTATAATTATTTGCACCTAGGTCC